AGTAGTAGTAGTAGTAGTAGTAGTAGTAGTAGTAGTAGTAGTAGTAGTAGTAGTAGTAGTAGTAGTAGTAGTAGTAGTAGTAGTAGTAGTAGTAGTAGTAGTAGTAGTAGTAGTAGTAGTAGTAGTAGTAGTAGTAGTAGTAGTAGTAGTAGTAGTAGAGAGAGAGAGAGAGAGAGAGAGAGAGAGAGAGAGAGATTTCTGAGTTTCTTTGGGTTTGTGTTTTTTGATGGAGTGGGTGCTTTTGCAGACTGACACGGCCTCGGTGCTTTTAGAAGCTATTGGGTACATTAGATTCCTGCAGGAGCAGATTGAGGTGAGAGAACCGACCACCGTTCTTTCTCTCTCTTCCCTTGCCTCATATTCTCTCTCTTCCAATCCCTCTTTCTCTCTCTTGCTTGCTAGAAGCCAGGAATCAAAGAGCACGCACCTAAAGCTGGATTGCCACGCAGTGTTCAGTTTTTTTTGAAGTTAGGAAAATGTCAGTGTAAAACGACATCCTAAATTATTCCCTATTCTTGTCTTGTTTTTTGCAGGCCCTCAGCTCACCGTACTTGGTAAGTTGCTGCCTCAAACGATTCTCATTTACAAAAACATGGAGGGAGAGAGAGAAATGAGTGAAAAAACTAAAAGTCGATTTCAGAATAGAAAAATTTTTCTATTCAAATTAGAGCCTGCGCTCTAAACAATCAAATTAGAGCAAACCTCAGAAATTTCACCCGAAGATGTTGTTTTGAGGCTTAAATGTTCTCAAATTGATTATCTCGACATCAAGATGTATGACATAAGAAAAAAATAGATTTCAAGTTTTGAAAATAGTACATCTTGTAATGCATATTTTGACTATCAATTTTCAAAATTTTCAAACTTTCATGGATCTGGTCAATTTTCACTATTTGCAAAGCTTTAATTTTTATAATTAAAGATGAAAATATATTTTAAAGATGTCACAAATATTTTTAATATTAAAACCACATTTTTTGATACTATTTGAAGTTGTACCCTAATTTGATTGTTTAGAACCTAGGCTCTATACAAACCGCACCCCTTTAAGAATAGGGGTGGTAAATTGGATGTGAGCTTCGATGGCACGTTTTGGTGCACTTGTGTGGAGATAGAGAGAGAGAGCAAAATAAGGCACAATAATTACTATGGTTCAACTTTGGAATATGCGTGTTTAGTCATAAATTGGATCTGAGGTTCTGTGCATGAGATGGTTCACGTGTGGAAAGAGAGAGAAGGCATATTATAGTATAGTAAGCAAACTTAACTTAAAATAGGCTTGTTTGGTTTGGTAAATTGGACTTGATGTTGGGTTGCATGTGTTGGTGCATTTGTAGAGAGAGATATGATAGGGGTGTTAAGTCACGTAAATTGGATGTGTGTTTATCTGTGTGAGAGAGAGAGGTTTGTTTTCGTAAAGTGGATGCGAGGTTTGTGTAGTTGATGAATGGTTCTCACTGATTTGACAAAAATGATAATTTTTGAAGGATTGCCCATCAATTAGTCTCACTCATTCCGCAATTCTTTCTCTTTGGAAGCAATGATCTAAGTACCTTCCCGGCTGTGTTTCTATCTTTTTACTGAACTTTTGGGAGAGAGAGAGAGAGAGAGAGGCATGTTCGTTGATGCATGCAAGTAATGAGATTGAAACTGTGTAGTCGATCTGTAATTTATTGGAGAGACATGAAATAATGCTTGTGCATGGGTGTGTAGGGGGGAGGGAGAGAGAGAAGGTGACACATAGGTTGCACATGAATGCAGAGAGAGATTTGCATGGTGCGTGTATAAAAGAGAGATTTGCATGTTGTGTATAAAAGAGAGAGATATAGGCATGTTGCGAGAGGGAGAGAGAAGCATGCTTTCATCTACGTTTCCACAAACTAAGCAAACTGCATTTGTTCCCATGTATGCACAATGCTCGTGCCTGTCTCCCTTTACTCAAAGTCCCTTTTAACCCCTCCCTCTCTCTCTCTCTCTCTCTCTTTGATTTCTTGGTAAATAACCTTTAATAAAATCACTTTAAATACCTTTTCCCATAAGAAAAAAAGTTCTCATAAAAAAAAGGAAAAAGTTTCATACGTGTGATGCTTGATACACGTGCATGCTTTCTTGTTTCTTTCAAACTTTTTCTTTGGAGTTCTATAAAAACAAGGAAAAAAAAGGGAGCTTTTTCTTTTGATTTTTATCAAAAGGAAAACATTTTCTTTCTTTTTTTCTTTTTTTCTTTTTTGTACTCCAGAGGTTTAAGCAAAGGTTAATCCTCAGGTTCGAGGAAGCCAGGTTCGAGGTGGTTGCAGATTCCCAGAAGACCCTGGGCAGGTATGCTTTTTAAGCTTTATAGGATCCAATTCCCACCTTACAAAAGCACCTTATGGCCTTGGAAATTGCTCATCTTCACTTTAAAGTTTAAACTAATGCAAAGTAAACTATGGGAATCCTTGTCTTACCAATCCAATAAATAAATAAATAACTAAATATCTATTCTTTACATGGTGCTCCATACAAATGTGTGGCAATCAGCTGGGTTGAACGTGGGACTGTATGGACTCAGATATTGTATATGGTGGGTCGGGTTCGGGGCCAAATGTCCTGGACCTCACTTAGGTTAGGTTGGGTTTGAGTCTGGGTCCATCTTGCACCTTGTCAGATCGGGATAGTTCAAGTCAAGGTCGTTATACCTAATTCAACGTGGGTGGTGTAGGTCTAGCTAAGACCCTTACAGATCGGGGTCGACCTGCTCCTGACTTGAACTATTGATACCCTTTTCCATGTACATATAAGTTATGTATATTTTTGGTTTGGGGGAGATGATAACGTCACAACTAGGGTAAAAGTTGTGTATATATGGAGATTGATAGTCGTTTTGACATTTGTCACACGATTGAGAGTGAGATGAAAACAATGTCACAAGTTAAAGCTTGGAATTCTTGGTAGTCTGAAATTGATCTGGACATTGTTGTTCATTCACTTTCAGTCGTCTGATCTCAATCGGATAGTTGTCAGCCTCCAAAAACGTATAATTTATATGTCAATGAAGACCGGTTGAAATCACATCCTTTTCATCGATGACTTATTGTGTTCTTGACTAGAAGTTTTTTTTTGGGGACCTTGCTTTCTCAAAAGAAATTGTTGATTTTGTGTTCAATTGAAAACCATATTTTGGGGCTTGTTTGATTGGCGGAAGATTCTCCAACTTCCAAAGGTAGGCCTTTTATTAGGGTAGCATCGGAGCGAGGCATCTGAATTTTAATGTAAATTTACATTATTTTGGAAGCAGCGGGAAATTGCGAATTCCAAAACAACATTGCACTGCCCATTTGACGAACTCGAAAAGTTCTAAAAGCCGAGTAATCAAACATGCCCTTTATTTTTGGGGAACTTGCTTTTTCAAAGGAGGAATTTTTGACCTTGAAACCCTTTCTTAATCTATCTCTTTAAAGAAGACCAACTTCTTATTACATGAAAGCTTAAGCACAATGAAATCCTTACAAGTATGCACAACTTTAAAAAGTGAAAGGAAGAAAAGAGAGAAGAAAAAAAGTCCTGTGATAAATTGAGGTAAAAGTAATTTGGTTGATATGTTTTTCTCTTGATCAGCTTTTGAATGAATCAAGCAAGAAAAGACGTGGTGCCAATGATCAGGTAAAGACAAATAATCTTTTAAACAAACAATCTCTTAACATTTATCACTTTGTTTGGTATCATTAATTAGATTTAAGCAATATTCGAAAACTTGCGAGTCCGACTAGCACTCGCTCGAGATACTCGGACTCGGCAGGCTACCCAACAGTGTTCAAGAAAACAACCCAGCCAAGGGCCAGGTCCGAGTAATCAGTAAATTGGTCAGTTCGATTGGCCTACTAGGGCAGGTCTCGATCGGTCCAAAAAGTGTTAAAAAAAAAAAAAAATCCAAAAAAAATGAAATATATATTTAAAATATGATGAAACGAAACACATCCAAAATAAAGTTTAAAAATAATGAAAAAGATGGATTTTAAAAAAACAACAAGTGCACAGGGGTATTTTGAAATTTTTTTAAAAAGATGGGAAAGTGTAAAAATAAGTATTCATGGAAAAAAAAATTTCCAATATATTTCAAAATGATAAAAATATTCAAGAACCACGATACAAACAAATCCCTTGTTTTTTAGAAATATATATATATATATATATATATATATTATTTTTATTTTTTATTTTTTATTTTTTAAATGCCTAGCCAGGCCAACAAAACCGGCCAAAATCAGATTGGCCAGTGCCTAATTCCGGTTTAGGTTCCGAGTTGGACCGGCCGAGTTTGCGAACAATGCTGCCCAAGCAAAATCAAAACCATGGGAACCAGCCAAATTTCGCTTCTTCCCATGATATAAATATTAAGAGATTTTCTACAAAGAGACCGTTTACCTTTTGTACAAGGATGTCACAACTATTTTCACTCATTAAATGTCAAAATGGATGGCTTGGGGTGAGTCATGAAGTATGAGAATTTTTTATGGAACTTTATGTCTATTTAAAAATACTTTTGCAACCACCCACTTTGAAATCTAAGGGACACGAATGATTGTGACCGTCTTGTACAAAAGATAAATGGTCTTTTTATAGACAATCCAAAATATTAATAGTTTGAGGACTTACCTTAGTCTCTTAGAGACTCAGCTAAGTTGAGTTGCCAGACTCAAGCATAGGACCCTTGTGGTCATCACAAGTCCCTGCTTTAACCATTGGATTCAAGAATGTATAGTCATAAGTTCAAAAGGTTCAAATTATCCATTTATCACTAACTTTCCTCATGCTATGATAATCTTGACCATGGTAGGACGCTGAAGATGAACCAAAGGACTTGAGGAGTAGAGGGTTGTGCCTTGTGCCCCTATCCTGCACTCTACCGGTTAGCAGTGACAATGGTGCCGATTATTGGGCACCGACGCTTGGCAGCGGATTCTGATAAGCCGAATATGAAAGTGGAACTGGTGCTTCATGAGATGCTATAACATCATGAGCAGTCACTCTGCTCAAATCCAAGGCTGATTGCTCATGATGCTATGCTCTTAAGAAAGGAATAAGTGTGGCTTATAAGAATGTCATTCTATGATACCCACTTGGGAGAACTACAGGGAACTTCCCTCTTGGGCCTTTCATAGATTGTTTTCATGTATAGAATGATTATAGCATGTTTCTTAACATCTCAATGTAGTTTACATTCAGTTCTCAACTTAACTTTTATTAAGAGTTCAAAGTAATTTATATTTCTCTACTTCACTGTTGTTGAGAGTGCAATTGAAACTAGATTTCAAGTAGATTGGGGCCTTCATGGTGGAGAACATCTCTGTAGATTTGAGTTTCTTAGCTTCAATGTGGCTCTGTTTTGCTGATTGTGTCGCCATTGGGAACTAGAATCCTTCGAAATAATGGGTGCGATTATGTTGCATTTGGGACCCCCACCCATTACATTTGATTATGCGATAGGTTCGGCATCCAGGCTCTGCACAGTAGAAGCAGAATGGGACCGGGGTGTACTTTCCGAATCAATGTAAAGGGGCCTAAGATGCAGCATTTTGAATGTCGGATCGACAGCTATAGGGCATAACAAACCACAACATGTTGAACTGCTGTAGCATCGTTAGGGATATTGCATTTTAGTGCATTAAATGTCCCTTCCTGAACTCTGCCTACTAAAGAAAAGACGTTTTTTTAGGAATTTTTGATTTGTACTTTACCCTGGAGGATAAATTCCAGAAATTTCACACTGCGTGTTAAAAAATTTACAAGATTCTCCATAAAAACATAATCCTCTTGGTTTTTATCCTCTTCTACTGTGCTTAGGCAAATTGAATAAAATTATTGGAATCTCCCTCAATAAGCACCTTGTTAATAGGTGTGATTTTTGTAGTATAATTCACAAAAATCCCATATTTTGTAATGGTGCACTTTAAAACCCTGACAAAAAAAAGTGGTTTCCCATGCCAAAAGTCCTTGTCATCCTGCAGATTTATTTGCACTCTTGATTGTGAAATTTGAAACTAAAAAAGTGCTGTAAATCCGCTGGATAAATATTTGAAAGGAATGATCCAGAAATGTATTACAAGATGAATCATTTGTTTTCTTTTCTAAAACCATAGTTGTCCCTATCGAAATGACCAAGTTGCACGACTTTTGACACCATAAATACATTTTCCAGTAAGCCCAACCCTACATAATACTTTCCCCATATTAATTTATCTTCCTAACCATGTGATTAGACCTCAAGAATGTTATAAATTTTATACACACGGCATCGATGAAAGCCAAACACATGTTTAAGACATGATAATATATCCCAATTGGAGTTTAATGAGAAGATCCTAATCTTTTGTTCATCTCCATTGCTTTTGTCAAATCAATTATCATTCAGTCCACAGGAGGAGGATAGCTATTATGTCAAAATCAATGTATCTAGAAATTTGAACTTTTATTAATTGTAACTATTTGCATTATATGAGATGTGGTAGAATAGTAAATTTTATGAGAAAATTGCCTAGGGGGTATGTGGTTGAATGTATTGGATATGATGATATCCAAAATCACCGATATAAAGATATCCCATATTATGTGGGATTGGGACTGATATTGATAAGTTCTCTAAAGAAAATAGAAATAAAAAAAGAGTAGGACTCTTGAGTATAAGTGTAATATCTATAAGAAGTTTCCTATTTAGTATAACGTCCTAACCTTATATATATAGGATGAAAGATGAAAGAATATATGTGCCCTATTTGGGCCACCATATCTAAGACCTGACTTTTTGAGATATTTGTAATATCTACAAGAAGTTTTCTATTTAGTATAACGTCCTATCCTTATATATATGGGATGAAAATTGAAAGAATATACGTGCCTATTTGGGTCACCATATCTGAGCGATGACTTCCTCTAGAGAGAGACAAGGCCTCCTGTTCATAAGAGGCTCTATGTCCCAAAATCTATAATGTAACTTTCATTAGTATTTGTCATGTCCGTGGATGTAGCTCTTTTGGGGTGAACCACGTAAATCTTTGTGTTCTTGTGGCATGTGTATTTCATGCTTTATTTCTTGTATTATGGATCGTGCTCTCTCTTATTTTGTTTCTAGCTGGATAAGTACACGATCTTGGTGGGATCCATATTTTGGGATTTCTATTTTCGCATCTAAGAGGATTCCTAAATCCTAATAGTACGGTCCACACCCCTTACATTTAACACCTTTAAGGTAACATCTTTTAGTGCACATAGCATGCCCCCGTGGGAGCATATTGTACACTCACTCCCTCGGCCAAGAGAGCGAGATAGGATAATTTGTTTGATCTAACATCTTGAGACCCATATAAGAATAATTAGATGATTATATTTTAAAGGAAAAAAAAAAGTTGGATTTTGAGATCTTCAATACTTAGATCTTGCGCTCCAAATATTGGATGGTCCTGTTCAATATTGATGTCATTCTTATCGGACACATAGAGTGCGTGATTGAATTTATTTTATTTATTTATTTATTGGCATTTCTAGAGGTTAAATATCCAAATTTGGAAGGGTGCAGTTTGTATAGAGCCGACGCTCTAAGCAGTCAAAGTAAAGCACACCTTCAAATGGTCTCGAGAAATGCGGTTTCAATACTGAAAATTTTTGTGAGAGCCTTAAAATATATTTTCATATTTAATTATTAAATTTAAAGCTACAAAAGTAGTGTAGATCAAGCAAATCTATGAAAACTTGAAAATTTTGAAAATTGATGGCCTAAAAATGCATTACAAAATACTCTATTTCCAAAACTTGAAATCCATTTTTTCTCATGTCCATGTATCTTAATGTTGAGATGACCAATTTGAGGATATTTGAGCAGCAAAATAACCTCTTCTAGTGAAATTGTTGAGGTGGGCTTTAATTTGATTGTTTAAAGCAGTGTTTTAAAAAATGGCGAGTCGCAACGGACTCGTTCAAGTCGACATGGGAATCGGTCTCGACACTGGAATCAGACACCCTGTGTTGATTCCATTGGTATACGCAAGTCGCCCGATCCTAGAGACGAACCAGTTGTGTCGATTCCACTGAAATATGCAGGGTCGCCCTGTTCTAGAGAAGAACTAGCGAATCGCTATAGTGAACTGCCGAGTCTGCATAGGTAGAACTAGGCAAGTCACTACAGTGAACCACTGAGTCTGCAGAGTAGCCCAGTTCTAGAGAAGAAGCGACTATGTTGATTCCACTAAGTCACCCGGTTAATACAACAAGTATTTCTTATCAATAAATAAATAAAAGGTAATACAACAAGCATCATGCTTTTCAAGCATGCATTTGAGCTGCGATTATCGTAAGTTTAAATTAGATATGTATTGAAGCATATTAGCTCTTTTTTTTTCTCTCATACATGAATGCCTATTGTTAGATTTTTTTTTTTTTAGTTTAAGAATAAATAGTCTTATATTTCTTATTTTTATAACATGGTGATCTTTAACATAAATTTAGGAATATTAATTTAAAGATAAGGTTCATACAATGAGGCCATTTGAAATCTCTCTCTCTCTCTCTCCCTCTCTCTCCTAACAATCTTTTCCACTAAATTTTTTTTAGAAATCTTAAAAATTAGATTTTTAAAAATTAAAGTGTTATTTTGAAATTTAGTACACATTCTCATAATTTCTACATTGATAACCAAATCTTGTATTTTATTTATTAATTTATTTGTATTATAAATTATGTAATTTACATCTTTTTTTATAGTTGTCGATAATATATTTTAAATTAGATGATATTATAAGATATTTTAGATTTGTTATTATTTGTATAGTAAAATAACTATAAAATGTAAACCAACAATTTCAATTTTAGTATATAATATTATAATTAATTAGATTGTAATAATTTGAGTTTTTTTTAGTGGATTAGGGTTTTCCGCCAATTCGAGATTTTGGTGGTCATTTTTTCATCGATTTAATCTATTATTTATTGTAGTCCATATATGATTATATACTTCATCCATGATAATTCTATGATTTTTCTTTTGTTTGATGTAAATTTAACGGTTAACATAAGTTCATACAGGGAATGAACATATCAATATTCACATGTTGATGAAAAAAATAAAGTTAATAATGTAGTACCCCATTTCTTATTGGATTCCTAACACTTGTAATGATTTTTAATAATTTTTTTTGATTTTTGTATTACCGAATCCGACTGATTCGATCGATTCCAGATCCGAACTGCCGATTCACCGATCCAGATAGATTTTTGGGATACCCGATCCGAGGCACCTATCCATTTTTTAAACCACTGGTTTAAAGCCTCATCTCTATACATACTTTTTGCAATTTGGAATTCTAAACATACTCCTAGCTTGGTTTCTACCTGAGGGAGCAAGTGGACAGTTTGCTCCCGTGGGACAGTATACTCGTGATAATGACTAGAATCAGATTCCATATACAAGATTGGGTGGTGAATAGACATCACATTGTCGCGAACATTTCCCTGTTTTGGGCAAATGAAGGAACATTTATCAACCTTCTACATATTTAATCTTTGCAAAATTGATTGTGAGATTGTTTGCCTTCTAAGGATCTATCCCTTTCCAAATGTTTATCGACAAAAGATAAAAAGACAATTATGCCTGAGAGATAACTAGAGATTAAATAATATGTTCTCATTGCAAAAAAAACGAATACTAAATCTTCCCAAATACATTCCAATTCAAATCATAAAGCCCACGGCCCATTAGTAGCACGTTTCAAGAGGGATTAATTGGTTTAAAGGTTTTATATATATTGAATGATTTGAAATACTGTTTTAAAACTCGGATAGTTGGGGTGGATTTGCCCAAACAACATTTCAATGTGGGATTGGGTGGATCGCTGCTTCGGATTAGTCTGGATTGTGGATTTAGAAAAATATCAAAATATAAAAATAATAAAACAATAATGAGGGTTTCATGGGGGAATTTTAACAGTGGTATAAAAAAATATTAAATAAGCTTAAAAAAAAAAAATGTTACTTTAAGGGAAACCAACACTGTACTTTTACATTCTCCAAAGAGAGGTTAGGAGAAGAAAGCGAGGTATTATATTAGGAAAAAGTTTATATAAGGTTGCAACCTTAAAATGTAGAATTAAATATGCACCCCAAAAATCCATTAAAAAATATTGTTTTAATGTTGAAAAACCCTCTAATTGATCATCTCAGATTGAGATACATGAATATGAACAAAAAAAAAACAAATTTTTTTTTTTAAGTCTCAGAAATAGTGCATCTTACAACACATTATTAGACCATCTATATTCAAAATCTTAATATATTTATACATCTACTTGATTTTAACTATTTTTGGAGTTTAAAATTTTATAATTAGATATCAAAATAAAATTTCAGATAATCTTAAAAAAATTTTACACTAAAATTACATGCTAGATAAATTTTGGAGGTGCGCCTTAATTGGATTGTTTAAGGTTGCAACCTTGCGGAAACCACGCCCTTTAGATTAAATTGTTTCTTTTTCGTTTGGTCTCCTATTTCTTCTCACCAAAATCTCATTGTTTGCGGATCGAATCTCCACCAAATCTCCTACCCTATCAATTTCCACTTTATTCTTTCAAATTCTCCTCTCTCTCTCTCTCATCCATTCACAAAATGTTCCTCAAATATTTCATACCCCATGTTTGAGTCCCAAAAAAGCCCTCATTTCCTCTCTCGCCTGCATAATATTCAAAACCTTCAATGTTATCACTAATTCATTTCGACAATTTCTCAAGCCATGTATACAATGAGATCATAATAGTCACGATTATTATTGACTATTGGATGCAATATCAGTTGGTTGAGGATGTATCTTTAGTAGAATACAATTTATCTGTAGATAAAGGAGAAATAGTATAATAAAAGGTGTGGCTTGTATAGAACTAATGCTCTAAACAATCAAAGTAAAACACACCTTCAAATAGTGTCGAGAAATGTGGTCACCTTCAAGTAGTGTCGAGAAATGTGGTTTCATACTCGAAATCCTTGTTATAAATATATTTTCATCTTTAATTATAGGGTTTAGTTTGTATAGAGCCGAGGTTCTAAACAATCGAAGTAAAGCACACCTTCAAATAGTATCGAGAAATGTGGTTTCAATACGGGAAATCTTTGTGATAGCCTTAAAATATATTTTTATTTTTAATAATAAAATTAACAGCTTCAAAAATAATGTATATCGAGCAGATCTATGAAAACTTGAAAATCTTGAAAAGTGACGGTCAAAAATGAGTTACATGATGCACAATAAATTTGAAATCCATTTTTTTCTCATGTCCATACATCTTGATGTCGAGATTATCAATTTGAAGATATTTGGGCATCAAAACAACCTCTTCTAGTGAAATTTTTGAAGTGGGCTCTAATTTGATTATTTAGAGCGCGGCTCTATATTAATTTTTTCCTTAATTATAAAAATTAAAGCTTAAAAAATAGTGTAAATCGAGCAGATCTATGAAAACTTGACAATCTTGAAAATTGACGGTCCAAAACTGCGTTACAAGATGCATTATTTTCAAAACTTGAAATCCTTTTTTTCTCATGTCTATGCATCTTGAGGTTGAGATGATCAATTTGAGAATAAAAACAACAATTTCTAGTAAATATTTTTGAGGTGGGTTCTAATTTGATTGTTTAGAGCCTCAGCTCTAAATAATCTTTTTCCCATAATAAATTGAGGGAGTTTCATGTGTAAACCTATTTTTTTAAGTTTGCGGTTTGTATAGAGCCTAGGTTTTAAACAATCAAATTAGAGCCTACCTTCAAATAGTATCGAGAAATGTGGTTTCAATACTGGAAATCTTTTTGATAGTCTTAAAATATATTTTCATCTTTATTTATAAAGTTTAAAGCTGAAAAAAAAGGTGTAGATCGAGAGATTTATGAAAACTTGAAAAGATTGAAAATTGACTGCGTTACAAAATACATTATTTTCAAAACTTGAAATCCATGTTTTTCTCATATCCATACATCTTGATGTCGAGATGATCAGTTTGAGGATATTTAGACCTCAAAACAACATCTTCTAGTGAAATTTTTGGGGTAGGCTCTAATTTGATTGTTTAGAACCTCCGTTCTATATAAATTTTTCCCTTTTTTGAATAGTTTAAAAGTAAGGGTGTGATTTCTATAAGGTTGCAACCTTGAACAATCCAATTAAGGCACACCTCTAAATTTTATCATAACATGTATTTTTTGCATAAATTTTTTTTAGGATTATATAAAAATATATTTTCATATCTAATTATAAAATTTTAAATTCCAAAAATAGTTAGAACCAAGTAGATCTATAAACATATGAAAATCTAGAAAATGAACGGTCTAGATAATTGTTGCAAGATGCACTATTTTTGAGACTCAAAATCTTTTTCTTTTTCATATTCATACATCTCGATGTCAAGATGATCAATTATAATGCCTTTCAACTTTAAAACAATATTTTCTAATAAATTTTTAAAGTGCATCTATAATTCTACATTTTAAAGTTGCAACCTTATATAAACTTTTTCTTAAAAGTAATTCCCATTTTTCCGCGATTCTAGTTGCTTTTTTTGTCGTGCTTTTATCTTTTTCCAAAATAATTCTGGTCCGATACTTGAAGTATGACACCTCATGTAAGTCTTTTTTACAAAACTCATTTCGGCATAAGTTTAAAATTTGAAATTTAAAAAGTAGTACTCGAAGTACGACACCGTATCAAATTTAAAATTTTATAAATAGTACCAATCAAGTATATTCATAAACACTTGAAAATAGGCAGCGGAGAGAATATGTTACAAGAAATACTGTTTTTAAAATTTAAAATTCTTTTTTTTTTTGTTTTTTCATATCAATATAACTTGATATGGAGATAATAAATGGAGGATTTTTCAACATCAGAACACTCTCTTTGAGAGGGTTTTTGAAGGCGACCTTATTTCAATAGTAATAAGTTGACAATAAAACTTTTTCCATACCTGAAATGTTGTATATATGTCTTTGCATATTTTACACGATGTGTAAAAATTTCATGGGTTATACATGATTTCAAACTTTCTATAACGCCTAGCATTTATAAAAATAAAGTAAAGCCTCACCTTCTATCTCCGTTTGGAAACGTAAAGTAGGGCCTCGCCTTCTATCCTTGTTTGGACAGCATTTTGGATATAAAAAGTTCTATAATGGTTTTAAAATCAATATCCAACACTCAATATGAAATTTGAATTTAAAAAAAAAAATAATAAAATGAGACATACAAAAGTAAATGGTTGTAAATAATTGTCACCTATCAAAAAAACCCTAATAGTTAGGACGGTGGTGATGATTTTGGAAGTTTTTCGACACTAGAATTGTAATTATCCGTGACTTTGGAGGCCAGGATTTACTTGTTTTAAAGAGCATTTTACTTGTATACACGAGGCGTGCATAGTATTACTTATTTTTTGCTGTGGATTGCATGCTCTATTCGTGTCAATGATCTTTTTGGCGCCTGCAAGTATCCAAGCCGTCATTGCCAATCGTAAAACGCATGTATTAATTCAATTCAGGTCCATTTTAGGATTTTTTGTTCATATCTATGCAATTTCCAGTGCAATTACACAATAAAATGGTGTTTTCATGGGGCTTGTCCCTTCTTCTCTCACTTCTTTTTCCTAATATTTTCCCACTCTTCCAAGTTCAAATGCTAAGGTCATGAAGGATTCTATTATCTGAAACTTTGTGCAATAAAATTTAGGGTTTTGGTTGGGAGAATCGATAGTGTTTTTTCTGGTTTTTTGATCCATTTCTTGGTCATGGAACAGATGCTCTCTCTCTCTGCAACTATAAATTCTGGGGAAATGGTAGCCTCTTTAGCTTGGAGCTCTATGTTTTCTAGAGGTTGTGCTTTGCCTGTGAATATAGGCTTCTGTAATCGAGGCAAGGATTCAAATACACACCTTTCTTCTAATTGTGAAAGAAAAAGAAATTCAGCTGTGCTTGTGAGAGCTCGCACTAATGCTCCTGTGATGCCCGAGTATGAGCATACTCCAGCTAATAGAGAGCTCAGAACTCCTCATAGTGGGTAAGTGATTATGCTCAATTTCATTGAATAAACTCATTTAGTTGCATGCATATTCTGAAATGTTTTTGCTTTCTCTTCCTCCTCCTCTGTCTCTTTCTCTCTCTCTCTCTCTCTGATAGTTCTATTGAATAAATTCATTCAATTTGCTTGCATATACTGAAAAATTCTTGATGATTTATCTTTCAAGTGTTTTCTTACTTCTTATTCTTCTTGTTCATCGTCTCTCTCTGATCAGTTTTTGTTGCGTTGTGTTTTTACTTGTACACCACATAATGATACATGCGTTGCATAGAATGCTCTCTCACATATAGAATGCTCTCTCACATATGTTTTACTTATACACCACATGATGATTACCGGCATTGCATAGAATGCTTTTTCCCTACATTATGTTTGTTTACTTATACACGACATGAATGAAAATATACATTGCATAGAATGCTCTCTCTCTCTCTCTCTCTCTCTCTCATCACAGTTTTTGGTGCATTGTGTTTTTACGTACACAACCTGATGGTTGCATGCAATTCAGAGAATGCAGGGGAAAAATGTTCATAGCAAATAAAAAATACAGAAAAATAAATTGCCTTTGATCATTGGTATGAAATTGAAGTGACTTTTTTTTTGTCGAAAATTTTTGTAACCCAGGTACCATTTTGATGGAAGTGCACGCCGTTTTTTCGAGGGTTGGTACTTCAAGGTCTCAATTCCAGAGCAAAAACAGAGCTTTTGCTTTATGTACTCAGTGGAGGACCCAGCCTTCAGTGGAAAGTTAGGGAAATTCGATGAGGCAGTTTATGGGTCTCGATTTACTGGAGTTGGAGCTCAAATTCTTGGAGCCCATGAAAAATATATTTGTCAATTTTCTGAAGAGTCTAATAATTTTTGGGGAGGTGAGTGTCTGTGCTAAATATTTTCTAATGCAAAATTCTTCACCATGAAAATTCAATCATGTTAAAATGGATTTAATTTTTTTTTGGGATATTTATCAAAATAGCCATGAGATATGAAATAGTTAACATTTTGCCCATATTGTTTGATTCTGTTTTCAAAATACTCATGAAAAGATGAGTTGGAATAGTTGCAAATGAATAAAATGTTAAATAGTGTTTCTCTTGTGGGTGACAGATTTCCCTTATTTAATTTCAAATAATTTATTTGTGCTGTTTATCTATTCAAGTGAAATCGTCACTATTATAATCACATTATTCACTTGTATGTTTCGTCATTATTTTTCTGAATTTGAACTCCTTGGTTGATCAAAAACATGAAATATTGTATTACTTTCCATACTTAGTATTGTTTGTTTCGCTGTCAGTTGACCTCTGTGGAGCTGGTTGCTGCACTCTAAAATTGACACGTTTCATTAGTTTCAAGGACAATGGAGAAATAACTGTTGAAGTAATGAATAATTGTGGTTATTATTTTCATTATATGAGTTTTATAATTTTTTATATTGTCTTTATTTTTCATTCCATGAGTTTGTAATTTATGTGGTCCTTATATTTCATTATAAGTTTGTAATTTAAAGCAAAATGAATTGCCTGTGGGCATTGTGGTTAATTATTTGAAGGTATTATAAATTTATAATATACTGAGTTATAGATACTATAGGTTTATAATGTACCGTGTTAAAGCTGGTAGTTCATAATGTTGGCATTTGTAGCTGATCAAGTAATGTCTGTAATAATTACTCATTGGACATATAAAAGTAAAGAGGCGGATGGAAACTTGGACTTAGCTAGAGAATAGAAAAAGAGATTTGGCCCCCAATTTTAATTTGGGGTTTTACCATGTTAAAGTTCTTGACTCTGATGTATATTATTGTTGTGCTGGGAACTGTATTGTATATCTTTTCTTGCTTATTATACGCAATAAAGCAACATACCTTGTTTCTTTTATTAGAAGTCACTCTTCTTTATGTACCTAACTTAAAATAAACATTTTCTAATATGCTGAGATAACATGATTTTTATGATCGTCTGCTGCTATATAGACAGGCATGAGCTCACATTAGGTAACACATTTTTAGCAAGGGAAGCCGTCTCTGCTCCAAATGGCGAAGTTTCTCCACAGGTTATGCATTTCATTTTACTGTTTGGTCAAGCCATTCTGAATTTCGTGTTATTGAACTTTTCTTGCTTATGCTATCACAGTTTCCTTTATGGAGCTTAATTTTGTTATTGTGAATTGGCTGGAACTTCCATTGCTATCAAATAGGATTTTCTAATTTGAGGTAATTGCTTAGTTGTGTACATTTATGCATGTGCGTGAAACTTGCGTTTGTTTTAGCAGTTACTTTGTGGTACACGGTTTGGCATTTGATTTCTTGGATCTGTTGTAAATACATTCTGCATTTTGGTTGTGATTTGATGGATGAATCATCTAATCCTAATTGTAACCGCAGTTATACACCATCTCCTCGTTTCAATTTTTTGAACATACCTTCTTTATGGATGATTCGGTGCTGAGAGACTCATTAAATTTTATGGTCCAAGTTGCAGTTGAATGATCCTAGATTACTGGATTCTCTAGATGCTGACATGAAACTCTTGACCACGTGATCTGAATGTTGTTTCTTTAACAATTTGGTGCTCCAATGTTTATATAACCTATGATCATATTTTTGTTTGATTCTGATGGTTAATATATTGTTTCTGAATTTTATATTCTCAAGTTATCTGTTGTTAAAAAGAAACTAGTAGAATCCAAATTCAATACAGACGATGTTGGAGAAAATAAGGGCTGGTAGGTTACAACCTGCGGTATCCCCATCTACTTCTTTTGTTACCTGTAAATGGACTTTTCTTGGTTTTTTAGGTTGGAGATTTGCCTCGGACCTTTTTCTTTTCCCCAGTATGACCTGGAAAATTCCGAGTTATGCCTTGTTGGTGTAAAATGTATAAAGGCGAGTGGACGTTGCTAGTTTGGAACATTAGGGGAAATTGTCCTCTCCAGTATGAGTTGTGGTACATTTAAAGGCAGGAGGCCTGGCTAGGGTGAAATTGTGGTACATTTAAAGTGCCATTTGTTTGACCAGGAAGGAATCAAAATTGTCAATGGGAGATAAGAGGTATAAAAGAATGGTCATCACTTAGGTGCCTGTCATCAATTTGTTGGACATTGGGCCATTAGCATGAATAGAATGCTTATCAGTGGTGGTACTGAGATGAAGGTGTATTCTGAAGAAAGGAATTGGGGGTTGTAGTAGTTGATGGTTTGACACCTAATGATTAGAGCCTATCCCCACGTTTCTGGTCTTGCACTACCATGGCAAAGAATTTGTGTGAAGAGAGTCTTGTCTTTGAACACTTGAAATTAGAGAAGTTAGGTTGACAGTCCTCACAATTTGGCATTTGATTTGAATGTGTATATACCATGTTCTTCAGGTTGTCATGATGCTTTCTTTAATCTGTTCAGTTTTAATGTCTAATGATTTATTGAGTGGCATTGGAAACAAGGGTTTTTTCTGAACTTATGTACGGTCTTTTGCACAGGAGTTCCAAAAGTGTGTCTTGGAAGGGTTCCAAGTTACTCCCATTTGGCATCAGGGATTTATACGCGATGATGGAAGGCACGGTATTTCTTTTGCATTAGAGTAGGATAAGGATTCTGTAATCAAATATGTGAGCTAATGGAATACAGTGGAATTTAGTTTCAAATGTTCATGCCTTGTTTCTTTAGAATTTTATGTATTGGAATTGATCTTGGAGATTCCATCTACCTATCACATATAAGCAGATGCTATATGGAGATTGATATGTATTATGTTATCCTGCTAACGAATGTTGGTTGCGATGATGGTTATTATTTGGAATTATTCTATTCAACAAAATGATTTATTTATCGTTTTTCATATTTAATGGACAGACTGAAATGATCACTTTGACATAACCAGTGAAATTTCGTCAATTGTCTCCAGTCATCATCATCATCATAGCTTTTTCCCAATTAATTGGGGATGGCTACATGAATCCTGGTCTGCCATTCTGCTCTATCAAAGGCCATACTCTCAGTGAGGCGAAAATTCCCCATATCTTTTCGGACTCCTTCCATTCACGTCCTTTTGGGCCTACCTCTTACCCTTTTCAATCATTCCACTTGAACTAACTCGCACCTTCTAACAAGTGCTGCGCCACACATGGCCAACCCACTAAAGTCTACTCTCTCTCCTCTTATGGCATATTGGTGCTACACCTAAATTTTCCCGAATGGATTCATTTCGAATTCTATCCCTTCTTGTCTTGCCACTCATCCATCTCAACATCCTCATTTTGCTACTCTCATTCTATGGGTATATTGTTTTTTGTCCACTCAACATTCTGCCCCATAGAGTAAAGTTGGTCTCACAACTGTCCTATAGAACTTGCCCTTCAGTTTCATTAGTATGCGTTGATCACATAAAATTCTAGTTGCACATCTCTACTTCGCCCACCCAACTCTAATTCTATGTGTGACATCTTCCTCAATCTCTCCATTTTCCTGGATTATAGAAGCAAGATATCGAAAGTGCAGTCTTTTTTGTACTTCCTAGTCGTCAATCTTAACTACTTCCTCGTCTCTACTCCTATTATTTACTAAACTTGCATTCCATATACTTTGTTTTAATCCGGCTAATTTTAAAACTTTTGGATTCTAGAGCATCCCTCCAAAGTTTTAACTTCGTGTTTATGCCGTTTCTTGTCTCATCGATCAAAACTATGTCATCTGCGAACAACATGCACCGCGGTACCTCATCCTGTAGGTGCCTAGTTAAGTCGTCCATAGCTAAGACAAAGAGGTACGGGCTCAATGCTAACCCTTGATTTAGACCTATTGTCACTTAAAACTCACTCGTCATTCCACTAGTTGTTTATACACTAGTTAGCGCTCCGTTGTACATAACTCTCACTAAGTCGGTGTAGTGTCTAGAAACTCATTTCTTTTCCAATACTTGCCAAATCAAATATCGAGGTACTTTATTATAAGTTTTCTCTAGATCAACAAAGACCATGTGGAGATCTTTTCCCTTTACCCTAAACTTCGCAATTAGTTGCCTAAGAGGTAAAATAGCCTCAGTTGTTGACCATTTTGGCATAAAATCAAATTGGTTTTCAGATACACTCATTTCATGCCTTAGTCGTTGCTCAATTACTTTTTCCCAGAGCTTCATAGTATGGCTCATAAGCTTGATCCCTCGATAGTTCGCACAATTCTGTGTCTCCTTTGTTTTTGTAAATAGGTATCACAATACTCTTTCTCTATTTATCTGGCATTTTCTTTATTCTCAATACCTTGTTGAGCAACTTCGTTAGCTAGTCAATGCCAATCTAGCCCATGCATTTCCAAACCTTTATCGGGATACCATCTGGGTCTAAATCCTTACGGCCCTTTTCTATCTTCATCCTTTTCAAAGCTTCTTTCACTTCTGACATCCTAATTCTACGATGTATCTATGATCTCTGCTTTCATTTATACCTACATTTCCTTCTACCGTATATTCCCATTATGTTCGACATTTAATAATTTTTAAAAATAAAATCTCCACCTTTCGTTGACCTATTTAATATGGTTTAAATCCTTACACTTTTTCTCTCTCATTTTTCAAAGACATCTTTTTCACCTTCTCTTGTTCCCAGTTTATTGTATAGGTTGTCATATGTGTTAAGTTTAGCTTTACTTCCTATTTGTTTAGCTATTTTTTTAGCATTTTTATATTCTTTTAAGCTTTGATCGTTTCTATTACACTGCCAAGCTCTATAACATGATCGTTTTTTGCTGATGGCCTTCTGAACTCCATCACTCCACCACCAAGTTTCCTTGTCGGAATTTCTTTTCCCTTTATATTCTCCAAACATAGACTAGCTAAATGCAACTCCCTTATTGTAATAAAATATGTAAGGTGAAAACTGTGGCATTCAATTCTTTAGTTCATCTGGCTTCTAACCTCTAGATTTCCTGATTATGGCATTTGAAAATTTTTGTCAGGCATGCTTTTCCTTGGACTTTAAAGCACTCCCACATGCTCGCTTTTCACTCTCGACTGATTAGTATGAAAACCTACAATTTGATGTTCTGTTGACATGGAGTCTCTTTGAGTATGAATATCTGATTAAACTCAGCCGAACAACAGTAAGTAGGAACCAATATGCCAGGAGTATGAAACTTTGTATTCGTTACTTGAAAGTGATGTACAACTTCTAATTTTCTATTAAAGAAAGGACGTATAACTTGTAAGTTTCTCTGAGACCATCAATTTAGAACATCAATCCTGAACACAGATCCAAATGGTTCCCACCACTGCACAACTTAAGTTGAAAAACAACTAAGCTAAAGAGAATAATAATTGTATAAAAACATCTACATAGTTTGGACTTTGGAATACATAGTTTGGACATACAACTTGTAAGTTTCTCTGAGACCATCAATTTAGAACATCAATCCTGAACACAGATTCAAATGGTTCCCACCACTGCACAACTTAAGTTGAAAAACAACTAAGCTAAAGAGAATAATAATTGTATAAAAACATCTACATACTTTGGAGTTTGGAATATATTGAGCAAAATGTCTATTGAATTCCACCAATATATTTTCTTTATATTCAAACCAAATCTGTACGAATTTGTTTACTGTTACACAATTCTTGTGCTACACATTTTAATATCAATAAGATAAACTTAACAATCCAAAACAAAAAGAAAAGGAAAAAAGAAAAGAAGGTCAATTGAATCTAGTTCAGTTAATCGCTAGAAAAGAAATATTATGTCACCCATTTTATTGCATGACATTACATGCAATTCCAGAGAAATTCCAGTTCATTAAGAGAAAATGTCTTATGGGATTCGCCTAAATACTTTATTGGCAAGTGGTCATTTGGACTATCGAAGTCTGTTTAGACTGCTTGCTTTGATGAATTTCTGAACTGAGACTTGTATGGTAGGTTGTAGTGTGGGGTTCCCTGAAAATTTGAAACTTCTCTCATTTTTAACAAATTTCCTTGCTGGCAAATACTTCTTGTTTTTGTTCTATTTTTCTTCAAGGTCCTGTATTTTAGTGTTTAAGTATCCTAACTTCAGTTTTAATGTACCCAAATGGCAGGTCACCTTATGTGCAAACTGTGAAGAGTGCACGTTGGGAGTATAGCACCCGTCCTATATATGGATGGGGTGATGTTGGCTCTAACCAGAAATCCACTGCAAGCTGGCCTGCAGCACTGCCCGTATTTGAGCCTCATTGGCAAGTTTGCATGGCCGGCGGACTGTCAACGGGCACGTACCTCTGTACCTTGTTCTAATATCCATTCTCTTCTCTGTTGCGTATGGTTTCCCTGTCCTATACTATTATATGAATTTGGATATGTTCCTTTAAAGGTATCAAAATAGTGCCCAAAATTTAATGAATGTTTCACGTTCACCCCTGCTCGCAATTTTTTTTTCTCTATAAGATGGTTCCCAGTCAGGTGTTCCACATTGTAAATGAGTATTTTTCTGAAATACTACTTTGAGCGTAAAATGGTCAATTGTAAACATGGATTATGTCTTCTCCCCTTCCTTTTCTTGGTTGATCCTTGTGATTTACTTGCATGATATGCTTCAACAAATGCACATATTATTCTTTCACATTACCTGGTAAGGGTGTCATCTGTCCAGTGTATCTTTGATCATTTCTTTCTTGTGGTTTTGATCCCCCTAACTCAAATTCATGGTATTAGAATTTGGGGATCAAAACTACAATAGAGGGTATCACCTGGAAATTCAGAATAATTGCAAAATCCTGAAATTCTGAAGCTTGAGGCGGGCTAGCTTGCTTTCCTAAACCTTGTCTTTTTCCTGACAAACTTGAAAGTATTGAAACATTGATCTCCTGCAACAAACTGGTAGTGTGTACCACGAGGCCAAAGCCTTAGAGATTTTTTTTATACTCTTATTTTTGTAATAGATTGTGTGATATGGCACTATATTTATTTTCCAGGTTGGATTGAGTGGGATGGTGAACAGTTTGAATTTGAAGATGCTCCTTCATACTCTGAAAAGAATTGGGGTGGTGCCTTCCCCAAAAAATGGTTCTGGGTAGGTTTCTGATTTTATATTGATATTCCTTGAGGCTCATTAATTTTGCAGACAGTCCCCATTTCTCATTGCCTTTATTCTATGGGTCTAAGGTACATTGACTTCAAAATGAACAAGTAGTTGAACAAATGCAGTAGTTTTCTTATTAGCACAGAATCTTGAAATAGTCGAAATTTCTTTCAAATGATCCTATTTAGTCGCTTTTGTAGGGATGCACTTATGCAATTACTGAACTTTTCATCTTTTATTATTTTAGGGGGACTTATTAAAGGGTGTGGTCTGCATAAGTTGCAACCTTAAACAATCAAATTAAGCTGCACCTCCAAACTTTGTCACGAGGTGCAATTTTGGTGTCGAAAGTTTTTAGGATGGTGCGAGAATCTATTTTTTTTATCCCTGATTATAAAATTTTAAACTCCAAAAGTGGTTCAAATCAAGCAGATCTATAAACAAATGAAAATCTTGAAAATAGACGGTCCAAATAATGTGTCACAAGATGAACTATTTTTAAGACTTGAAATCTCTTTCTTTCTTCTCCATATCTATTCATCTTGGTGTCGAGATGATCAATTAGATTGTTTTCCTATATCAAAGTCTTCTTCGAAAGATTTTAGAGGTGTACCTTAATTCTACATTTTAAGGTGTCAACCTTATATAAACTTTTCCTTTATCAGACTGTGCACAAGAGATGAACTATTCACAATTTATTCATATTTTTTGATTTGATTTCAAAATACCTATCAAAAATACATGAGCATGAGTTGGAATAGTTGAAAAAGGGCAAATTGTTAAATTGTTGAAAAGTTAGGTCTATTTTGATAAATTTTCCTTATTTTTATTAATCAGTTATTTAATTATGGAAACAAAATATTAACTGTTTACTTGGACTGCCCAAATGGATGTACCGATCCATTTTAACTGAATCTTTAGACTTAACCCTTCATCTTTTTCAAGGCATAAAAAAGTTACTTGTCAGAGAAAGTTATCTTCCAATTACTCCAGTGGAGGACGTATCCTCTGTTAATACATGTGTCTGAGTCTGAAACCATTATAGTTGGATAAGTCCACCAATTCCACAAAACTAACTGAAGATATTTGCCCTTGTTCAAAGTTCAAATAAGTAAGGCACTTGATTTTCTTCTTTGTTTTTGTCATTTGATGGTTTTCTGAACATCTTGTGTAATATTTGTTTAAATATGATTTTGGCAATAAAAATTAAATCATTATGGAAAAATTATTACCAGTTATAGTGCAAGGAGACAATTCTATGATCCATTGGTTTGTATTATGAGTATCTTGCAGCAGCCTAGGCTTACACTTGGAACACCAGTTCTGGTCGCAAAGGAATTTATCATATTTGATGGAAAGTTAATTTATGATGAACATGCTGACCCTCATCAATTTCAAGTATCAGTTATAAAGAGATGCTGGGTATATAGTGATGCAATTATGAACTGATTGTCACAGGTTCAATGTAATGTTTTTGAAGGTGTAACTGGGGAAGTTGCATTGACTGCTGCTGGTGGAACAAGGAAACTTGTCGGACTAACTGAGACATTTGAAGATGTTGCTCTGGTATGCAATCATACACAAATTACGAATGTATCTCTTATATTTCTTTCTATAATTTTTAAAGATAATTGTCAAACTGGAGAAATTTTCTTGTTTTGCTTAATGAGGTGATGGCATGAAGTTTCTTCTCTTTTTTTTTTTTGTATATAGTTTCTTCTCTCTGAGTTTCTATATCTTATCCTAGCATTTGTCTTTGTCATCTTAAGATCTTATTATTCTTTTGGGTGAATTCCAAGTCTCAGAGTTAATTTTGTAGATTGGAGTACACTATGATGGGAAATTTTATGAATTTGTGCCATGGACTAGCACTGTCAAATGGAAGATCGCACCTTGGGGTTATTGGTATATGTCGGGCGAAAATGACTCGTATAAGGTGATCTATTTCTTTGCTTATTTTTAGGCCTTTACCTTTCTCGTTATTTGTTGTAGCAATTTTTCCATGGTAAATTATGATAATAATCTCAAGCTCCTTACTCTTTCCTTTGTCACCATTTAAAAAGATATCAGTCAAAAAGATGAAAGCTTTTGCTAATTATTACCTGAAAATGAAAGGATATAGTATTTTGAGATATGAGTGAGAATGGGGACTTTTTATTGGGAAAAGGCTAAAATGAGGATGATAATTAGATGATGTTTGGGAACCCATGATCTTAGCTAAATTTGGGGAGTTCGAGAAGCCCCTTTTGTATAATGTTTACTTGCTGATCTGAAACCTTGATTTTTTTTTCTTGTTGAAAATTAGATTAAAAATTTCATGTCATTCGTTTGTATATGTTCCTAGGCTGCCAGTGTCTATGGGGTCTGCATCTTTTTATGTGTAAGGAGGTCTAGATTTATTGTATTTTTCAACTATAATTTGGTAGCATTATCTAGTATATTTTGTTTTCTTTCCATAGATGCTTCAAGCTCAACCATCATATATTCGGCAATGTAATGGAATCTATTTGATTTTAGAGTAAGAGTTTTATTTTGTTGACGAGCCTAGTTTTGGCTGCAGTGCGATCTATTTCTTATTGTACATTTTTTGAGCACTATCATGACAGCTCCATCGGTGTTCAGAGAGTTTCAGTTACAGCAAAGGACAGTTTGTGTTTCAGTTTTCAGCTTGTATTTTGCCAACTCCCGACCCCCCGCCCCTCCCCCTCTGGCTCCCCCTCCTCCTCCTTCCCCCTCT